CCTCCTCCTCCTCTTCCTCCTCCTCCTCCATCTCCTACCTATGGTGGTGGAAAATGGGCCCATCAAAAGGACACATGGTCGGAGCAGGGCGAATGGAGCTCACGATCGGTCCCTGGACATATCTTCGTATCCAGGCGCACCAGCTTCCCTGGCTACGTCCAGCCTTGCCAACGGAGAGGGCCCCCCGAAGACCAACCACCACCTTCTCACCTTCCCAACCCCCAATGTCTTGACTTTTGTCAATGCGCGGTGCCCGCGCGTCTCGACCGAGTCTTGGGGACCAGCTTTCTTAATCCGGAGTCGTCTTCTGACGCTCCCAGGGCCGGTCGGGGGCCCTTCGATGACGTGCGCTGTGGAAAGCCTCCGCTCTGATAATTGTTCAGCACGCTTGCTCTCTGGGCCCTCAGCCTTAGAGGCCGAAAGCTGAGAAAGAAGGAGGAGGCGGAGCCGGAGGCGGAGGAAGAGGTGGAGGAGGAGGAGGAGGAGGAGGAGGAGGAGGAGGAGAGGAGGAGGAAGCCTCCGTCTTGATTTTGCTCGGCACGTCGGATCTCCGAGCCTCCCTCCTCTGACTTTTTGCCCCCGCTCCACTCCTGGCTCGTGGCCGCGCCCTCGCTCCCGAGGCCGACGCCGCGGTGGGCGGCGGAGCTGGTGTCCGTGGACGTGGGCGTCGCCGTCGTGCCCGCGTCGTCCTGCACGTCGAGCGCGGCGGGGTGTGGCTTCGACGGCAGCGGCAGGTCGACGATCGGCGTCGTGTGCACCGGCCCGTCCTGGGATGCGGGGCCACGTCGGCGGGGGGACTGGATCAGGGGTGTGTGTGTGGAGAAGCGTCGAACTGGAGTGGGCGACGCGTCGCTGATGGATTGGAAGAAGAAGAGAAGGCCAGAAACATCAACTTTTGGTGCTCCGCGCGGGTGTCTTGGATCTGTGCTGGAGCACGCCGGTGGCGGCGCCGAAGGCGCCGCCAGTGGGGGCCCATCGCCGATCCAAGAAAACCGCGCGGAACGTCGAACGTTCATGTTCATGCCGTTCTTTGGTCCTCGAAGCATCGAGATGGAATCACCGGCGATGCATCGCCGATAGATCGGCGACAGGTGCCCGAGAGCGAAATCCCGCACGCTCCTTGGTGGGGTGGGCCATGGTCCCCGCCCCATCGGCGATCCGTGGGCGAAGGGGGGGCGATGCGTCCCCCCTGAGACCATCCCCTCTGCAGCGCTGCCCTTGCAGGATGGCGGACGTCCACCCGCACCTCGCACCTCCTGGAGGGCCTGGCAACTTCTGACGTCCCTCGACTCGAGCTGGAGCGGCCGCGATGTGCTCTAACTTTCCCTCGAGATCGCTGGGTTTACCTGGATTTCTGCTGACCCTGACCCTGACAAACCAACCCCCTACCAAACCCTGGCCAAACCTGGTGAAGCCCTTGCTGAACCCGCAGTCGCGAGGTCGCACGCTCTCGGCTGCTGCTCGCCGCCAGCACAGCTCAGCATTGGCCTGAGCATGCGCAGTTGCCTCAGTCAGCGGCCGCAAGGACGCGGGCAAGATTTACATCCATATCCGGTGCGCCTTCGATTTTCGTTGGAAGGAGCGCCACCAGGCCGAGGTGCACTGGACATGGCTAAAAAGAGAGCCTCTACGGGGCAAATTTATCCATACCCAGTGCGCCTCGGGTTCCTCCATACTGCAGTGGAAGGGAGCCCGGAACTCCATACTGCAGTGGAAGGGAGCCCTCCACGGGGCAATTTATCCATACCCAGTGGGAGGGAGCCCGGAACTGCATACTGCAGTGGATATGGACAGAAGTACTGCTCGCAGAGGAGGGGCAGGCGGCGGCCGAGCCGAGGCGGGGCGCGCAGAGGCACAGCGAGGCACGAGGGGGAGAGGACGCGGTCGCACCTGGGAAAGAACAGCACCCTTCAGGAACATATTATGTTCTTATGCTAAGGCCTCGGACATATGTTCTTATGCTCCATGATAAGAACACATTATGTTCTTATGTTCAAGACAATATTATGCTCTTATGTTTGGGCCAACGGAGGGCCTTATGATGAGGCCCTCCGCCGGCTCAAACACCCCAAACCGTGAGACCACTCGAGAGTATCCTCCCCCAGGATGCGCAGGAACGTCCAACACATTTTTTGGCCGGCGGGGCGAGAGCGAACCTCTTCCGTTAAAAGCTAGGCGGGCTACGCACAGCTCTAATTGGGGAGACAGGGCACAGGCGGGCGGGGCCTCAGGCGGCCAGAGAGGGCGGGGCCTGGGGTGCAGGCGGTAAGAAGGTCCAACACATACGAAGAACATCAGGGTAGCTGCCCTCCCCGAAGCGACCCCGATCTTCTACCTCGGCCCGGCCGCACAACATACCCAACACTCGTGGAGAGGGTCCTGGAGCTTCGGACCGTGGGGCCCCAGGGGCGTGCGGGCCACATTGCAACCAGAACGGCCACTTTACGACCAGATGGGGCACTTCACAACCAGCATGGGTTTTCCAAGAAGGGCACCTTACAACCAGGAAGGCCGATGTACACCCAGACAATGAAACGCACATACGCGACACACGTTCTTCAATTTCCAAAATCTCCGTGGGTCCACGTAAGGGAGACACTTCGCTCTCTGAAGCGTGTTGGTATGGGATCCAACAGGAATCCTGTTGGAATCCTATTGGCACCCTTCCCACTGGGATCCGAGTGACACCAGATGAATCCCATTGGAATCCAACAAATTACATGTGAATGGGGGGGCCTACGGGTGTCCGATTGGAACCCGATAGGGACGCTTCCTGTCCAAAACCCTTCGGAACCCTTCCAAATGGAAACCGATTAGAAACCCGATTGGGTTACAATCGAGGAACCTTCCTATTGGAATGCTGCGGAAAACGCACTGGAACACTATATGGAAACTCGGTGGGAACCCTTTTAGAATCTTACCCGGGAACAATAGGAATCGTTTCTCTGGGAATCCCCTCAAGACAATATTGGCGAACACGACGGACATCGCACTGTAATCCAATCGGAATCCTGGCTTGTTCGATCCACACGGGCATACTATTGGGATACCATCGTGACCCAACTTAAGCCCAACAAGAACCTGTCCTCTTTGCATCATACTGTGACCCGATCAACGTCCTATTGTTATCCTTGCGGTCCCCAATAGAGATCCGATACGAATCCTCCCGCTTCAGGCTGGTGATCGGCCTGGGCGGTTTAAGCTTGTTTCATACCTACACCCTGAATGCACACCATTTTTGTTGAGCCTCATAACCTCTGCCTGAAAATCTTGCTTCTTCGGACAACAGAAGGAGGGTAAGCGTTCACAACAAAAGACGCGGAGTAACACACGCGCTCCCAAGAGAGCGGAACATTGGCCAAGGAACCGCTGCATTCTAGCCAGTACATGCGGATGCCAATCTGCTTTTTGCATAACAAACACGTTTTGTCCTCGCGCCTCATCGTCTGGCAAAAACAAAACGATATTCTTTCGCATGTACGGAAACATGCGTACCCAGGAGCGGATGTGTAGCCAAGGAATCAGTTTACAATCCTAACCAATACAAGTGGATTTCGAATTGTCGTTTTTTCATCATAAACCATGTTTGTCCTAGCGCCTCATCGTCTGGTACGCGCAGAACCGCATGTTTTTGCATTCGCGAAGCATGCGTACCCAGGAGGGCGGAAACGTTTCCAAGACATCGGTGGTAAAATGCTCACCAGTACGTGTGGATTATAATGTTTGGTGTTTTCGCCTCACAGACAAGTGTTATCCTCGCGCCTCATCGTCTGGCAATCGCAAAACCGTATGTTGTCGCATTCGCGGAAGCATGTGGCCAAGAAATCGTTGATACAATTCTAGCCAGTACATGTGGATCTCAAAGTGTGGGTTTTGTTTTGGAAGCATAGACCATGTCTGTCCTCACGCCTCATCGTCTGGCAATTGCAAAAATCGAATGTTTTCGCAATTGCGGAAGCATGTGTTCCCAGAAAGGCGGTGAATGCTCCCAGACGCACGGAAGCGCCTGCAGAACGCTCAGGCGCTCAGAGGCCTCTGCCTCTGCACAGCGCTCAGGCGCTCAGAAGCCACTGCAGAGAGCGCAGGCGCTCAGATGCCTCTGCAGGGCGCTCATGCGCTCAGAACAAAGCGCCCTGGCGCTCGGAAGCCTCTGCAGAACGCTCAAGCGCTCAGAAGCTTCTGCAGAGCGCTCAGGCGCTCTGAAGCTTCAAAGCCTCTGCAGAACGCTCACGCGCTTCTGACGGCTGGTTGTGAGGTGGCCGTTCTGGTTGTAAAGAGCCCCGTCTGGGTTGTACTGTAGGCCGTTCTGGTTGTGAAATTGGCATTTCTGGTGGTACAATAGTCGTTGTCGTCCTCGTTGTACAACCATGAAATCCTATCCTTCGCTGGTTGTGAAGGGGCCTATCTCGGTTGTGAAATGTCGTTCGCGTCGTAAAGAAACCGAATCCCGGCCCTGCAGGGGGCCCGAGACGCCCTCCCCTGCAGGCCCGACCGCCCGCCGGCTGCGGCCTAGAGCGCCTGCGCCACCGCCCCCGCCGAGAGGGCAGGGGCCCGACCCTCCGACATCTGGACTACTGCAATACAGCGCTCGTGGAAAGAAGAACAAAAAAAACGCCATAGACTTAAACTTCTGGCGCTCCGCACGGGTTTCTTGGATCTGCGGTGGCCGCCCCCCCCCCCGGCGCCCGGATCGGGTCGGGCGAAAGGGGGGGATAGCAAAGGGGGGGGGTTGAGAATCAGCTCACGCAGCTGATTTTCCCGGCGCCTCCCGGCGCCAGAGGCGCCCACGCATCGAGGAATGGGCCCCTCGAGGAGGCCGAAACCAGCTGCATGCAGCAAATTTCGTAACCCCCCCTTTCCCAATCCCCCCCTTTCGTCCGGCCCGACCGGAGCGCGCCAGGGGAGGCGCCGCCTTTTGGAGGCCCAGCGCGGAGCCAAGATAGCCGTGCAGAAGTCTATGTCTACAGCGTTTTTCTTCTTCTCCGGCACCGTGCTGCGCCACAAGGAGCGCTACACAAAGGAGCGCAGGGGGGCCTGTCTGGGCGCGGCAGACCTGGGCCACGACCAGGTTCTCCTACCGTATGCTTCACCGCCTCGACCGTGCGGGCCCCCCCAAAAACCCGACCCGTTCTCCCAGCTCGCCCCGGGTCTTGAGCATGGACCGACCGCCCCGGCATTCGTATCTGCCTACCACGAATGTTCTCAGAACCCCCCAAGATGTTCTAAATTCAACATTGTGTTTAGAACATAAGCCCGATGTGTCACAACAAAACATTAAGAGCCAGACACGTTCTAAGAACATGTCGCGCATACCGAAAAAGGTTCTTAGAACATGTGCTGGTAGGCCTACATCCCCAGGGCGAAAATGATTTCCTCTTGGGCCCAGAACGACGGTTTAAAGTCTCGAACAGACGCGTATGGGATAACCGCCGTGGGATCCAACCAAGCTCGCGCGGATCCAATTTTGGTGTTAACCCAGTGGGGGCGATAATAATACCCCAGGGATTATAAACTTCGGGGGTCTTGCGGGGATAATCAACGGTTTTCCCAGGGAAGGTGAAGTTATTATTATGATGATGATGATGATGGTGATGATGCTGATGGTGATGCTGATGCTGATGATGATGATGATAATGATGATAATGATGCTGACGATGATGATCATGATGGTGGTGATCCTGGGCGCTCCGCTCAAGAATGACTCGAGAGATCTCCATGCTCGTGGCTACAACTTGCCAGCAGGCGTAGTAGTAGTAGTAGTAGTAGTAGTAGTAGTAGTAGTAGTAGTAGTAGTAGTAGTAGTAGTCGTAGTAGTAGTAGTAGTAGTAGTAGTAGTAGTCGTAGTCGTCGTAGTAGTACTAGTAGTATTAGTAGTAGTAGTAGTAGTAGTAGTAGTAGTAGTAGTAGTATTAGTAGTGTTGTAGTAGTATAGTAGTAGTAGTTAGTAGTAGTAGTGTTGTTGTGTAGTAGTGCAGTTGTAGTAGTAGTTAGTTGGTCGTTAGTTAGTCAGTTATGTGTAGTGAGTAGTAGTAGTTAGTAGTTGTAGTAGAGTAGTATAGTAGTTAGTGTGTAGTAGTAGTTAGATTAGTAGTAGTAGTATTTGTAGTTGCAGTAGCTGTAGTAGTAAGTAGTAGTAGTAGTAGTAGTAGTAGTAGTAGGAGTAGTAGTATAGTAAGTAGTAGTAGTAGTAGTAGTAGTAGTAGTAGTGTAGTAGTAGTGGTTAGGAGTAGTAGCAGGAAAGGGGGGAAGAAGACAGGGTGGGAGGAAGGATGTGGCCCCAGGATCGATATTCAAAAAATGTTTGGATTCGGGGCCTTAGGTATTTTACTTGTAAAAACTGATTATTTTAAATCGTTTTCAATATCGCATGTAGGGTGTCCATGGTGAGTCCCAGCGGGGGGGAAAACGGGGATATAGAAGTTCGGGTTCGGGCCCTGGGGGGGGGGGGATGAGGGGGAGGAGGAGGAGAACGAGAAGGCAACTTCGATTCGCAACTTCCACGGTGGATTATCAAGTTCGACCTCCGCGCCCCTATCCACAATTAAATCCTGTTGAACGGGGATAATGAAAATAGAGGGGGTTAAAGGAATGGGGGGTACATTACTATCGCCCGCACTCGGTTAGTTTCTGTGTCGGTGGGTTCGACTTCCGTCCGCGCGAATCAGATTTCGGATGTTTTGGATCCGTGCCCAATCTTATTTTTTACGGCGGATCCGATTTCTACCCCGTTTTAAACTTAGATGTTAAAATTAAAACGGGGAACCGGAAGAAACCAAATCCGCGGACCCCGGAACCCGACCGTGTTACGATTATACGGGGGAAGGGGGGGTCGGTCATCAACTTCCCATGATGGGCCCTGCGCTGTACCGCGCACTCCCATCAACTTTCTGCGAGTTCGGGCCCTACTCAACATGGATACGTCTCTCTCCTCCCGATTGTTGCACGCAGATCGTCCAGACGCCGTCCGTTCGGCGGCGCTGGTGCTATCCCGCGAACTTCACCGACATTTTCACCTCTTTCGTCCTGCGTAAATCCGCCGACCCTGTCGGCGTGTGTGAGGGGCTTTTCCGTTCGAGCCGTCATCTCCGTCATTCTTTGTACTCGTCGTCTCTGTCCTTCCCTTTCCCTGGGACTCCTCTTCCCCTGGGCTCCAGCCAAGCCGACCTTGAGCAACCTCGTAATTGAGTCGAAGGGAAGCCCCTTCCCTTTGATCCCTCCCCCGCCGGGAGGGGGGGGGGGGTCGACCCCCCCCCCGGGTCAGACGCGACGCCCCCCCCTGGGACTCCTCTTCCCCTGGGCTCCAGCCAAGCCGACCTTGAGCAACCTCGTAATTGAGTCGAAGGGAAGCCCCTTCCCTTTGATCCCTCCCCCGCCGGGAGGGGGGGGGGGGTAGCGACCCCCCCCCGGGTCAGATACGACGCCCCCCCCTGGGACTCCTCTTCCCCTGGGCTCCAGCCAAGCCGACCTTGAGCAACCTCGTAATTGAGTCGAAGGGAAGCCCCTTCCCTTTGATCCCTCCCCCGCCGGGAGACGGGGGGGGGGTAGCGACCCCCCCCCCGGGTCAGATACGACGCCCCCCCCTGGGACTCCTCTTCCCCTGGGCTCCAGCCAAGCCGACCTTGAGCAACCTCGTAATTGAGTCGAAGGGAAGCCCCTTCCCTTTGATCCCTCCCCCGCCGGGAGGGGGGGGGGGGGTAGCGACCCCCCCCCCGGGTCAGATACGACGCCCCCCCCTGGGACTCCTCTTCCCCTGCGCTCCAGCCAAGCCAAGCTTGAGCAACCCCTGGGCTCCAGCCAAGCCGACCTTGAGCAACCTCGTAATTGAGTCGAAGGGAAGCCCCTTCCCTTTGATCCCTCCCCCGCCGGGAGGCGAGGGGGGGGTAGCGGGGGGCGGTAGCGACCCCCCCCCCAGGTCAGATACGACGCCCCCCCCCCGTACCGACCTTGAGCAACGTCGTAATTGAGTCGAAGGGAAGCCCCTTCCCTTTCCCTTCCCCGCCGGGGGAGGGAGAGGGGGTCCCGGGGGGGGTCCCGGGGGAGTCCCGGGGAAGTCCCGGGTCAGATACGACACCTCCCTCCCCCACCTTCTCGTCCTTCTCCCCGTTCCCCAAAACCATCCCACAGCCCGTGCCTCTTGCTGCGCATTGCGAACAGGGTCGGCGGCACCGGCCGTCAGGCCTTCGCAATATATAGTCGAGCCAAGACGCTTCGCCACTGCTTGAGACCCGCTCCCCCGGCTCGTCCCGGGTCGCCGTCCTGGGGAATGGGTCGAGACTTCTGGGGACCCGTATTGAAAAAATCCAGACATAGGATCTCTGGGGCCTTGATCATCAAGAAGAATTTCGAGTGCCAAGGAAGTGCCGAAATTTTGGGGTTTTCACGTGTCGGGCCCTGGCAGGCGATACCCGCTCGACACTGCGCCAGCGTGACTGCCTCGCCCAGCGAAGCAGGCCCCATGCTTGGGAGGCCGAACCTGGCCCTCAACAAGCTTCCCGCCGAGACGCGCGGGAGACGCGAGAGGCCCCGTCGAGACGCGAGTCGGGCGTTGGCAGAACTGGGTTTAGTGGAACCTGGTTTAGTGATCTGTACCGGGGGCGCCCCCCCCCGTCCCATTTCCACTAACCGGAACTGCCGCCACCCGAAAAAACACCAGCTATGGCAAACCTGGTTTATTGATTCTGGCCAATTCAAAGACTCTGGTGCCCTACCACTAACCAGGTCCCCTTACCTGGGGTCCTGGCCATACCCGAGCGAAGGGACTCTGGGAACTCAGGGCTCCTCGCGTTGTGACAAAAATCGCGACGGGAGGTTTGTCGCCGTTTTCGGCCTCAAGAGGCCCTCGCCGGGCCCCAGGACCGTCAATTGACGGTCCTGGGGCCCCAGGAAGGGGTCGAGACTTCCGGGGACCCCGCATTGAAAAAATCACGGCATCGGATCTATGAGATTCTGGGAACGCGCCATGCATAACCCGCCCGAGCGAAACTGACCAGGCGAAGCCGACGATGGTCAAAATACCGACCAGGCGAAACCGACCAGGCGAAACCGAGCCTGGGCGAAAGCGACCAGTCCCACAATTTTTAGGCGGAGCTTCGCCCGGCCGCAAGAGCACACACGAAGAACATTAGGAGACCCAGAGATCCGATGTCGTGATTTTTCACTACGTGGTCCCCAGAAGTCTGGATCCCTTCCCCAGGACTGGGGCCCGGCGAGGGCCCCTAGAGGTCGAAACCTGCGAAAAACCTCCGCTTCGATTTGTTCAATGCGTTGGATCTCTGGCGACGCTCCCCGACGTCCAGAGAGGCGCCACCCGACGTCGAACGGGATCGTTCTGCGAGGGTCCCGGGGCCCGAAAAAGAGGCGGGAACGCCCGGCTCGAAAAAATTGAGACGCCAAGACCTCGAGGCACACACGAATAACCCGAGGGGACGCCCGCCGTCCCCCCCGCCGTCCAGGGAGGCTGTGCCCAGACCCCCCGACGTCGCGATTTTTCCAAAACGTCGACCCCCCGAGGTCTGGACCCCTTCCCCGGGACTGGTTATTTATCCGATGTTTTGTTGACGGTCCTGGGGCCCGGCGAGGGCCTCCACAGAGGCCGAAATCGGCCACACACGCCTCCCGTCGTGACTTCTGTCGCAGCGCGAGGGGGTCCGAAGCTCGAAGAGCTCAGACCAGAAGCTTGATGAGACGCCCGGTGCCCCCCTTGAGCAGGGACCGACCGTCCTGGCATTCCTTCCTATAGTCCTACCACGAAGTGTTCTTAGGAGTCCAAAGATGTTCGAAAAACAAAAAGGATGTTCTCAGAACATAAACCCGACGAATTAAAGAAGGACAGGCTCGGCCAGAAATGTTCTAAGAACATTCCGTGAAAACCACAAAAGGTCCTTAAAACATTGTTTGGTGGGGCTATAAGGAAGCCAGGACGCTTCGCCACTGCTTGACCCCCGCCGTCCAGGGAGGCCGTGGACAGGCCGCCCTCCAGGTGCGCCTGCTCGGCGGCGGAGGGCACCACGCCGCCGGCGCATCGCTCGGCCGCCTGCCGCCGCGGGGGGCGGGCGGGCCAGGAACGCCGATCGGGCCTCCTCGTGCGTCTCCTCCTCCTCCCTCCCTCCTCCCTCCCTCCTCTTCCCTCCCTCCCTCCTCCTCCCCCCTCCTCCCTCCTCTTCCCTACCTCCCTCCTCCTCCCTCCTCCTCCCTCCCTCCTTCTCCTCCTCCTCCTCCTCCTCCTTCTTCTTCTTCTTCTTCCTCGTCCTCTTCCTCTTCCTCCTCCTTCTCCTCCTCCTCCTCCTCCTCCGATGCAGGCCGCAGTCTCCCGGCTCCTCCCCCCAAAAGCATCCGAGAACAACCAGCGAAGACCCCGACCTTCACTCGGGGGCTGTGAACCCAGAGCCCCTCGCGTTGTGAAAAAATCACGGCGAGAATTTGTTCGCTAACTTCGGTCTCTGGGGGCCTTCGCGCCGGGCCCCAGGCCGGGCCCCAGGACCGTCAACACACAACTCAGGATGAGAAACGGGTCCCGGGAAAGGGGTTCAGACCTCTGGGGGTCGTCGTTGTGGAAAAAGCACGACGTCGGGGGACTGGGAAGCATCCGAGAACACCCAGCGAACGCCCGACCTGCACTCGGGCGCTGTGGATGCGCCAGTGCCTTCGTGGCGGCGTTCACCCCAGACCCCCGACGTCATGATTTTTTCATGACGCGGCCCCCAGAGGTCCAGACCCATTCCCCAGGACCGGCTTTTCATCCTGAGTCGTTTTTTGACGGTCCTGAGGGCCGGTAAGGGCCCCCAGAGGCCGAAAATAGCGAAAAACCTCTCGTCGTGATTTTTTCATGACTCGAGGGGGTCTGGGACTGACACGTGCCCCGTTGTCGTCGCGATGTCGCTGCGAGACCGCCGAGGATGCCGACGGCACGGCGCCGCTGCGGATCTGCCGGAGACAGGCAGGCCGCGCTCCTCCGGGGCAGAGCCCGCAGCCCCGGCTCGGGCCGCAGACGCGCTGCGGGGCCCGCGCTGCTGCAGCCAGACTGGCCATCGCTCGGACGCCCCTTCCCTCTGCTTTTTTCTTTGTTCGGTTTTGCGCGCGGCTTTTTTTTCGCCAAGTGATCCAGGATGCTCCTCGCGATGGTCCTCGCCGAAGGAAGAATGGCTTTTTCGTTCGGTTTTGCGCGTGGCTTTTTCGCCAGATGCTCAAGGGATGCTCCTCGCGATGGTCCTCGCCGAAGGAACAAGATACACGCGTCCGAGCGATGCCAGGGCCCGCGCCTCGCGCCCCGACGCGCCTAGGCTCGGGCGGAGGCCGCCATTCGCCGCGCGCCCTCCGCGGGCGCTCCCGCGCGGCGCCGCCCGCGGCAGCCGTGGCGCCCCCCTGGCGAGCGGCGCTGCCCGCCGCCCCCGCGCAGGAGCCGGGCACCGGGCGCCCGCGTCTGCTCTTGGCGGCGCGGAGGGGCAGCGACGGGGGAGGACCAGCTCGTCGGGGGGGAGAGCAGCGAGCTGGGATGGGCGGCGCCCTGACCTTCTTCCAGCCGAACACATAGGAGGGCCGCAAGAAGAGCACCAGGACCTCGACGTCTGAGCTCCAGTCGAGGTCTGAGGCAGCCCATGCAAGCTCAGAGATCCGGAGGGCGTTTTTTCTGAGCACTCTGAAAGGTCAGGGCAGATCGGCGATGCGCCCCCCGATGGCGGAACTGTATGCTCCTGGGCGGCATGGGCCACGACGGGCCCCCATCGGGGGCCCCGGCGCGCAGCTCTTCGACGTGCCGCGGGGGAAGCTCGCCGCGAGCCTCGCGGGCGTGCCCTCCTCCCCAGGGGCGCTGGCGCCGCGGGCGCCCGGAGCGGCGCCCGCGCGCCGCGGGGCGGCGGAGGCCCGAGGAGAGGCGGGCCGACTACCTACCAGACCACCCCAACCCAACCCGAAGATCCGAATTTGACCCGAATTTCGGGTTGGGGGGGGTACGGGTTCCATGTGTTTTCAACGTTCCCTGACCCCCCCCCCCACTGGAAATGGAGGGCAAATTGAGGCCTTCGGGTTGGGTTGGGGTGGTTTGGTAGGTGGTGACGGGCAGGACCACCTGACCGCGCGAGCGCCGACGCCGATGTGCCAGCGCCGCGTCGGCACATCGCTGCTCGATGGCGCGGGGATTGGCAGCCCCCAACATCCGACTTCGTGATTATTTCAGTCCGGGCTCCCCGGAAGTCTGGACCCCTTCCCCGAGGACTGGTTTTCCATCCCGATCCGTGTTTTGACGGTCCCGGGGCCCGGCGAGGGCCCCCGGAGGCCGAAACCTGGGAAAAACCTCCGCCCTGATTTTTGTTCAATGCGTCGGTTGTTCCAGAGCCCCCTAGGTTTAGCTGGACCCCTGCCCACGAGAGCCCCGAGGAGGCCCTCTCTCTCGGGATCTCTCTCAGGTGATGGGTGGGGAATATGTGGGCCGACTGGTTCGCCAAGCTCATGGCGTCAGCGTTGTGGATGCCACGACAATGAACACCCGAACAGTCCTATCATTGAGTTTTAGCTGTGTTGAAAATGTGGGAAAAAACCTTTTAACATGTTTTAAACATGTTTAAACCATGTGTAACACATGTTTAAGAGATGTTGTAGACATCTGGAAATTATTCGGCAACATGCGTCCTCTCCATTGATCGTCCTCCACAACGTCAGCGCATGCCGTGTCGTCGGTGCACGCTGCGTACCTCGCGTCGGAGCTCCAGCGTGCCCAGGCGATCCCGAAGGACGTCTCTCGGGCGGTCTGCCGAACTGTCGAACTCTGCCTCTGGCACGGCGCGCCCGAGGCCGTCCCCGGGCGTCCCCGTACAGGTGGGCCGCCAGTTCTCAGGCGAATGTCGCACTCCCTCGTTCGTGTCGAGCCGTCAATGGAGGTTCGGTGCCGCAGGTGTGCAGTCGGACTTGATTGGAGAGGACACGCGAGAGGACACAAGACCCTTCCGAGGGCCACGTTGCCAAAGAGATGCAGGAGGCATGGGTCGCAAGACACAGGACACGAGGGTACCCTTGAACTGGCAGGATCGACCTACTAATCCGGGCCGCCTGTCTGTGCGCTGCCCGCACAAGCGGGCACCGTGCCCCCCTTGCGAATGACGAGTGCAAGCCTCTGCCCGCCCAGGCGTGGGCCGCGAGGTGCCTTTTCTCGAAGCCAGGTCTGGTGGTTCGCGATCTCAGGGGTCGTGTGTACGGGTCCGTGCGTGTCCGAGGCCCTGGCGGCAGCTGTGGAGGTGCCGGGGCCCGTGCCTGCGCCGCCAGCCGAGCCACCAAATGGGCTCGAGGTCTTCAGGGAGCGACAGCACGTTTTAGTCGCCCCCGGTGCCCCGGTCACACTGGGGGCCCCGTCGTCGGGGGAAGACGGGGAGGAGGGGTCGCTCGACTCTGAATTCGGAGTATGTGGGGCCGTCTTCCAATCCTGCCACCAGGGCCAACCAAAAGGGGAAAGCCAACATGGTGCAGCGTGGCCTCCACCTGAAGACAGGGGCCCCGTTGCCCCCCCCCCACTTGCCTGAACTCGTTCAGTTTTATTACTGAGGCATCGCCTCCCCCTCCCGCCTTAAGTGCCTAGGGGTTCCATGTTTCCAAGGTTTTTTGGTTTCTCGGAAAATTCCTGCTGGCTGCTCGGCCTCCTCCTCGTCCTCCTCCTCCTCCTCCTCCTCCTCCTCCTCCTCATTCCTCCTCCTCCTACTCCTCCTCCTCCTCCTCCTCTCTCCTCCTCCGCCTCCTCCTCCTCCTTCCTCCCCCTCCTCTCTCCTCCTCCTCCTCCTCCTCCTCTCCTCCTCGTCCTCGTCCCTCTTCCTCCTCCTCCTCCTCCTCCTCCTCCTCCTCCTCCTCCTCCTCCCCCTCCCCCTCCCCCTCCTCCTCCTACCTCCTCCTCCTCTCCTCCATCCTCCTCCCCTCCTCTCCTCCTCCTCTCCTCCTCCTCCTCCCCTCCTCCCCCCGTCTCCTCCTCCTCCTCCTCCTCCTCCTCCTCCTCCTCGGCCTCCTCCTCGCGTGAGCGCCCAGACCCCCGCCGCGTGCCGCCCGAGAGAAGCTCCCCCCCCCCTCTCCCGCCTGCAGCTTGGCGGCTCCGCCCCCGTCGCCGCGCCTCTCGGCCACGCGGGCGTACAGCCGGCGCAGGCGGGCGCCCTTGATCGGGAAGCGCTGGGCGTGGAGCGCCAGCAGCAGCTCGCACAGCGGCGCCCACAGGCCTGCGCGGTGGCAGAGTGACCGTCGACCCGTACCATAAGGACGCACGACAAGGATGCAAGGGTTAGGTCGGGCGTCCTCTTGAAAAGAATCAAAAACAAGTCAAACATATGACAAAAGGAGTCGAAGAATCGTCCCCAGACTATTGTTTTACTATTTTTCAAGATTTCTCCTGTGAGGGGACATGCCCGACTTAATGCGAGAGCCTTGGAAGGCCATTTCGAAGCTTTTCGAGCGGGGCGCGGCCAGCGAGAGTGGCCGAGGATGGGCCGAAGGGGCAGGGATGCAAGGATACCCTCCGGAGGGTTGCCCATCCTTCTTATGTGGGTTGGCTGCACAGCCGAAAACAGGATCAAGAAACGTGCCACTTACGAAATCAGGGCCAGCTTCGCGGACATCTTTCGTGGGATGCCAACCTGGGCCAACCGTTTCTGTGAACGCTGGGGGGGGGGGGCGGGCGAACGCACTCGAGAGACTGGGCCAGCTTTCCCGCGAGTTGGTTAAGCAGCGCTGGCCCAGCTTCTCGGGAAAAGGCTGCTGCCTCATACGCTCGACTTTAGACGCAAGAAGGGCGACCCCACAGCAAGAGCGACCTTTGGTGACCGGCGGTGGGGAGAAGGAGGATGAGGAGGAGGAGAAGGAGGAGGAGGAGGAGGAGGAGGAGAAGGAGGAGGAGGAGGAGACGGAGGAGAAGGAGGAGAAGGAGATGGAGGAGGAGGAGGAGGAGGAGGAGGAAGAGGAGGAAGAGGAAAAGGAGAAGGAGGAGGAGGAGGAGATGGAGGTGGAAGGGGAGGAGGAGAAGGAGGAGGAGCGATCGGGGGACCCCATCGGGCACTCACCACAAGGCATTCCCTGCTAAAGGCAACTCTTACGTACAGTCGGAGGGGGGAGGGGAAGGGAAGCGCCCACCGCGAGCTCCGCAGAGCATCTCACACCGCGACGACGGGGGGGGGGAACAAGAACACGCCGCCAGGAGGTGGTGGGTGGGACACTGAATGCCCATGTACGCGAGCCCTCCAAATGCGTCCTCGTTCGAGGTCAGATGGAAGCTCGATTGTTTCCAGATTTAAACAAATCGAGAAGAATTAGACCAAATTCTCTGAGGTCCGAACGGATTTCTTGGATCGGCGCTGGAGGACCTGGTTTGGTGGTCGCGGTGATAATGGGCGTTGTGAGGGGGAGGGCAGGGGGGGGGTCATGACGTAACGCCCCTCCCCCCGCCGCGTGGGTCCAGCACCACAAAGTGGGGTGCCCGACGCACTGCGGCAGTGCCTGGGGCGCACAGTGGGGGGAGCTTCGCGCTGTGGGTGGGGGGAGGGTAAATGACTACCTACCAAACCACCCCAACCCAACCCGAAGACCCGAATTTGACCTGAATTTCGGGTTGGGGGGGGTACGGGTTCCACGTGTTTTTTCGATGTTCCCCGACCCCCCCCCCACTGGAAATGGAGGGCAAATTGAGGCCTTCGGGTTGGGTTGGGGTGGTCTGGTAGGTGGTGAGTAAAGGGGCAAGGGGAGAGCATAACGCGCGTTATGGCCCAGCGGGCGGAAGGACACTCTCCAGGCAAAACGCCACGCTTCGCGGGCCCGTCCCCGGCACCATGAGCCCACGCGTGGCCGCGGCCTCTGGGCACCTGGCCGGGAGCCGCCGCCCACCGGGGTGCCCGGGTGCATCGATTAGAGGAAAAAGAACTATGCACATACACCGATTCTGGCCAGACCCATCCCGAGCCCAGGATCGGTGCATATGCCCTCCTACCTTGGCCAGGAAGGCATATGCACCGATCCTGGGTCAAGGATGGACGTTGTCAGGATCGGTGCATGTGCATATTTCTCTTCGCCCGATCGATGAGCTCCCGGAGGCCGGGGAGGGGGGGGGGGGATCCCGTCTGGAGAGCCTTCGGGCACGTGGCAGCCCCCGCAGTGAGGCCGACGGAAGCCCGCTGCCCCGATGCGCAACGCGCAACACGTACCGTATTGATGCGGAGCTCAACACGCAGGCCGAAAACGCCGACGGGATACGTTCGCCCAAAGTGGTCCAACACGTGGAGCCAACACGCAACGCATTGACACGGACGTCTTGAACACGGGACGTGTTGCGCATCAAAACGGGCGTATCTAGGCACCCAAGGCTCGAAAAGGCGAGCAGCCGCTTGCCAGAGTATAGCGTTCGAGCCGGCGCCCCGCCCAGGGCGGCCTCCACACCCGGGCGCAGCCGGCGGCGGCGCCCCTCTGGGGCGCTCCGCACCCCGAGGTGGGGGTGTTGAGACCACCCTGGGCTCCTCTGGTGGCCCTCCTCCTCCTCCTCCTCCTCCTCCGCCTCCTCCGCCTCCGCCTCCTCCGCCTCCTCCTCCTCCGCCTCTTCCTCCTCCTCCTCCGCCTCTTCCTCCTCCTCCTCCTCCTCCTCCTCCTCCTCCTCCTGCTCCTCCTCCTGGGCATGCTGAGGCCAGCCGGGACTACGTGAGGGGCTGTCTTCGCGCGGCCCGAAGCCTCACCAGTCCCTCCTCCCCGAGGGTCCGGCGCCGCGAGGACACGTCTCAAATCGTGGGGGGAGCGCGAGCGGAACTGCTCGACGCCGCCCTCCGTCGGCTGGAAGCTGCACCGACTATGGCCCCCCAAGCTGGGGCCAGAACGCATGTGGTGATCTGTAAGAACGGTTTTTTGAAGGCAAATCTGCCTTCAAAAAATGGTCTACTCTGTAAGAACGGTTTTGTTGAAGGCAGATCTGCCTTCAAAAGAACGGTTTTTTGAAGGCAGATCTGCCTTCAAAAAACTTGTCTACTCTGTAAGAACGGTTTTTTGAAGGCAGATCTGCCTTCAAAAAACCGTTCTTACAGAGTGTCCATGACGACAGAATCTGGGGGCCCGTCTGAAAAATACCCGTCGTCGCTCGGAGTCCAGCCCCAGACCCGTCCGAGATCGCGTGCTGCCTTCTGGCAGGGAGTTGGAGGCGGACCCCGCCGCGACAGCGAGGCCCCCCTCAACATGCACAGAACAACACAAGCGCACAAGCCATATCCCTTCCCGCACCCATCCTCCCCCAGTGGGGAGACTAACTCCTCCGCCCGAAGGCCTATCACAACCCTGATGTAGAACCGCAAAGCGTCCGGCTGGCCGTCGATCGTGTCGCGCATGCAGCCGTCCATGCACTCCCACAGGTCTTCCGCCTCCCAGGGCCAAGCCAATCTCTGCCCTATGCCCCCAGCTTCGCGCCGCACCTGCGCTTTCCGAGAAGGCCTCCTCCCCCCGCGCTCCGCCCAGCCCCGAATGAAAGAGGAGGGGGAGGAGGAGGAGGAGGAGGAGGAGGAGGAGGAGGAAGAGGAGGAGGAGGAGGAGGAAGACAAGGAGGAGGAGGAGGAGGAAAACCAGCTTCGAAACAACACCGTCACAGGGTCAGAGCTACACTCACTCACCAACCTACTGGCCGACGTACTCCATACATCAGGTGCAGCCTCAGTACGCCCACCGTGGGCTACATCAAGTGTTGGCGACTCCCACAGACACATCACACCGCCGACAACCAACGAGCAAGCCGACTACGTCGAGCTATAAGACGTCGACTACCACACCGCGGACTTGCTCAACAAAATGGACAGGTACGGAAAGGGAGCCACTACAACGAGCACCACAGCATCCTCGACCCTCTACGACCAAGAAGACAGACTCCACAAATACTGCTCTGACCATGCCCGACCTATCCCACCACAGCAATACTTACCACAACTCGACTTCAGACCAAAGAGAGACCACCAACAAGCAAGGCCACCACCACCACCACCACCACCACCTACCCATGCACCTACACGACTACACAAGGCCAGTATACCAACACCAATCGCACCTCCAGCTCAACTACGACAGCCCACCACCACCATCAACAACCCTTGGGATGACGGAGGCAACGACGCAGCAATACGCACAGCAATCGGCGACTCAGGAGAAGAGGGAAGCTACACCGACAACAACGGCGACTACAAGTACACTCCTACGCCCTTCTTTATCACATCATTCACACCGCACGAGAGCCACGACATGCACTGCCCTTCAGGCTGGACAGCATATAGTGCCATAAGCAGAAGTGAAGAGGACGACCACGACGAGGACAGCTGGTTTACGCAGTCTACTACAACGCGGCAAACCACGTACCGATTCCCAAACGACCACCTACGATTACTTACATGGTTGGCACAAGTACCTTGACAAGCACAGCAACGAATCCGTCGTTCGCAACAACCTCTCACGAACTCTTCCTCGCCCACCGCTGAGGCCCGATGCACATGCGACCCCACGCTCCACATTCGGGAATCCGCTGGTCGAACAGACCAGATACTTAAAGCTCCGCGACGCAACACCTGCAGACTCTCACCGACCTCCATCGCGACCACGTCAACTGTGCCAACCACGACCTCCACAAGGAAACTACGTGGGCGGCTTGGCAAACCACTAACTACAGAGTCAATGGAGACCTCACAGTGGCAATCAACACCTCACCTCCCTGATACGAGATCCGACTGCAAGGATTCTCGCGGTCTCACAATGGCTGTGCTCATGCCACGACTACGAAGACAACATGATGTATGACTGGGCATTGCGACACACAGCACGACTACTACAGCGGATATGCAACCCAACCTGCGCACCAAGCGACGACCACATCGTTCCACAATGCTCCAGCGACGACGCCACTAATGACGCACCGCAACAAGCACAACGACCACCAACAGACACACTACAAGCAGACACTGACACGCAAAACCAGCCAGCATCAACGACAAACCCACTGACGACCCAACAGTCCAGCACCATACATGTGATCAGAAGCCCGATACACCAACCTCCACCTAGCCTCAGAATCCCCGCCGATTGCCCACAACCAGAGGATGCAAGGGCTCAGCGACTGCTAGATGAAATACCCAAATCTGGGCTAGCACCTCAAACGTTTGCCACAAAACAGACTTGCTTCCAACCAAAAGTACTT